CCACAGACTTTATGGAGTTTCAAGTAAAAAGCTCCCAGTTAACGCAAATTTCTCTGCCCTCTATAATAAAGTCTACATGTATAAGATTGATTTCAAGTAAGTTTTTAATCACAGGTTTGAAAAGTGTACAATTCTATAACATCAAGGATAGGAGCAGAGGAGATATCAACAATATGTTAAAATATTGGAACACTGATATTTATTTTATAATTCAAACTTAAGGGGACATGAAGAACTTACCGAACAACAAAGTTTGGTTCCAGTGGGAAATGGAGAAAGATGGAGCCAGGGTTCAGGGGAAGGGTTTTGAAAATGTACAAGATGGCTTTAAATGATGCCATTTTGCTCTCCATCTGGATCGGGAGACAAAAAGGCTCTGACACTGACATGGAAGATTGAGCCTCACCTGTTTAGACATATGTGTGAACTTTCTTTTAATATCATAGTCTCTGTGTAAATGACAGATGACATTGTTGTAGAAATGTAGCATTCCTATGACAATTTATTACTGATTTTTTTTTTAAAAAAACAGACTATTATAAAAAAACCTGAGAAAAATCTCAGGTCTCTGCACTTCTTTCTTTAATGAAAATGATGCAAGTATCTGATCCCAAACCCTGATAAAGTTAACAGGGCTCTCTGCTGTTTTCCACATCAGGCTTCATGTTTCCTATTTCAATGTGAACATGTGGTTTTGTTTTCCAGCTCTTATACGAAGGAAGTTTAAGCTCTTCCTCTACAAAATATCAAGATGATATTTCTTACGATATTTCAATTCCAGCTGTTGGCTGTAGGTCACAGGTTTTGAAAGTATAGTATAGTACACCTAGGCAACATAGCCGAACCATCGAGAGTGCTCAAAAACTGGAGGCAGTAGAATATTCTGTAAGAAGAACCAGGCTTGCAGAAAGCTCGGGGCTCTACTGTATTACAAAACTTACTAATGTGACCTGGAACAAATGCCCTGGCCTTTCCAGGCCCCAGTTTCTGCTTCTGCAAAAGAGGATAATCTGGTAACTACCACACAGGGTTACTGTGAAGAGTAAGGGAAACGCTGTATATCATGTTCTTGGCATGGCAGCAAGTACACCCTGAGTGCTCCCTGTTAGCTACTCATTCCAACTCTTATCAGAAGGAATGACCAGTAAGGACTAGAAATGTGGTCAGATAAATCATGCTCAGTGCTGCCTTCCCTTCATACCCACCCTATGCCCTTGAATTTGGTAATGACCCAGCCTTGGCACAGTCTCTGCCACATGGCACAGGAACTTTTTGCTTATATAACAGAAACGTATACAGCTGCCCCCCCCCCACTTCTCTCACAACGCCCCAGGTTAAGAGCCCTAGAAATACCAGCTTCCAACTCCTTGAGCACAAAGTGAAAATTCAGTCATAGATCTGACTGGGGAGAGTAACTGATCTTCATTTACTTACGTCCACATTAAAATTAGCTTGAATTTGTTGTTCAGGTATCTTCTGGTGGCAAAAGCAAGTTAAATACCAGAAAAAAAGTTATTTGCAGGTTTAAACATGGACACAGGTAAGCCGCTACATGAACAACAGACAGAACATAGAACAACTACAGTATATGTAAATTCTGAAGTATTAGCTTATAGTAAATCATGGGGTTAGCTCAAGCCACAGAAGCCCTCAGTGGAGACGTTTACTATCGAAAAACCCAGAGTAGAGGAACATTTGAAATATAGCTATTGGCTTGAGCCAAGGAGAGTATCTGTTCTCTGAAAAGGAGTGCTAAAATTGAAGTAAGACATGTTTCAGAAAGATGTGAGATGACTCACTTAATGGCAAGGGCTTTTGTTGGCACACTGCAACTGTGGTGTGGAGTCCCAGGCACACAGAAGCAGCCTACTGAAGCTCGCTCCTGGGGAGTTTTGATTAAAAAAAAGACAGTCTTGAACACTGTCTGAAATACCTTTCAGTGGTAGATATATTAGCTAGGAGGTTTCATGAAAATAAAGTCCGTGAGTGTTCCATTGCCTATGTGCTTTACATAGCAATTAGCGTTTAATATCTAAAAACCAAGGATTTACCAAGGGCCAGAGCTCTATCTAGTATTTGGGTGAGAACTTAAGAAAGCCACAAAAATATCATGGTTTTGCAGTCACTCTCAAACCCAGGATTCTAATGAGTGAAGTAGATATGGAGACTTTTAATCAAGCCCTGCTCACATAGAACCCCTAAGACCACTTTCCATGACACTGGTACTAAGGACCAAAGGAAGCAAGTGTGCTTATTTATTTGGAGGAGAAATCATTTCCATTTCTAAAAATACAGTATCAGGCAAAATGCAAGCGTCCTCTCTCTGCCCAAGGAGAGATCTCCAGAAGGGACTGAATTCATAGTGCTGTGTGCAGATTGGTTATTGCTGCTTATGGTGGTTTATTTGGCCATGTGGATTGCTGTGGCCTCACATGTGGACAGAAGACAAAGTGAAGAGCACCAACCTCTAGGGTGAACTGCAACATCATACCAACTTTTCTCTTTCGACTCTGAATAAATGAACAGGGAAGAAAAAAGCAACAGAGTCCACTTCTAATGGCAAGAGAAGATTCCCACTTTACCTCCCAGCACCCCTACTACACGTGAGGAGTTATGTAACCAGGGCAAGCTATTTAACAATAATCATGCTAATGGTAGCTCCCAGTCATGGAGAAATGTGTCTGGGTGCTTAAGCATTTTGTATATTTAAATCTCTAAGCTTAAATTTCCTCATCTATAAACTAAGGACAGCAACACGCCTAGTCCATTTGCAAGCTGAGGTAGCAGGGTCAAATAGTTTCAAACAGGTAGACTTGGATTAATATGCCAGCTCCAAATTCTACTATCTCATATCATCCATCTTCAGTTTTCTCATCTCTGATGTGGAGATGAAGCTACCTACCTCAAAGGCCTTTGGTGAGGAGCTGAGGCAGACAGTGAGTCAAACACCAGCTGGTGTCTGTATCACTAGATGTGCCCATAAACATCTATATGTTGGCCTGCACCACAAGTTATTTGATGGCTACAGTACCGAAAGGTGCATTTTCTTTCATGACAACAATATTACCCAGATCGAGCTTAATAGGTCAGCAACTGGCTCAGTAGCTTCAAATCTATGAACTCATTTAATTCTCACCACTGTTAACCCCATTTTACAGATGGAGATATAGAGGCAAAGAGATCAAGTAACTTCGCCACATTCAAATAGATGGTATCAGACTCAGGAGGATGGCTCCATATTCTCCTCACCACAAAGGAATAGAGCTTACGGGGCCAGCTGTTTGAGAGTCCATGCTGCTAAGGAATCTCTGCTGGAGATAAGCACTGGATGGCTGCTCTCACAAACTGCAGTGTGCTAAGTTTTCAATTTCTGCAATACCACTGTGTATTTTCTTAGAATTACATTTTATTTAATTAATTAATTAATTTTTTGGTACCAGGGATCAAACTCTGGTCCTTGCACTTGCAAGGCAGTAGAATTACATTTCAAATAAGGTATCCATCTTGTTTCCCTTGCTAACAACAAAAGTTCATTTCTATCTAGAGATTAGTTAAATAAATCTTAATATAAACTTACACTCCTGAATTTGGGCTCAACACAGCTATTTCAAATCTAATTTTTATTCATGTATTTACTCATGTATATATCCCCCATTTATGATATATTTTGTTAACCTAATGACTTCTATGCCAAATACTCCAAACATTCCCCTTATTTTTAATATTCATTGTCTATCAGTCAGACAGCAGTGCTATATGGTATTTCAAAGTATTCCTGTTACAAATGAAATCAACTCCAGTATTAAACATCAATGAAGATAATGTATTGCTCTGCCTAAAAGGAATCTCTAGGGGACAGCTAAGAAAGAAAGGTTAAAGATTTCTATCCTTCAAAGGAGGCCACTGCAGCTACCTATAAATCTGCTCTTTGTTTATTAAGATAATTAAGCCCATCAATACACTTAACTTCCAGACTCAACAATTGTCTGGGATGAACAATTTCCACTTTTTCTAAAACAAAGGGGATGTGTTCAAAAAGGGGTTCTCTGCATGCTTTCTGTACAATGCATGCTATTTTAAAACATGATTTATGTGTCTAATTCCTGGAGCTGCCTTGAAAAATATACTGGGCTCTTCCTCCCCTGTTCCCTATTAGGCGGAGACACTCCAATCTGAAGAGTGCACTCTGTTTCTGACTACAGGCCGCTATATCATGTCAGCATTTTCATTAAATACTATTCAAGCTGGACTTTAAACAAATGGAATGGAGGGCCACAGCTGCAGCCAATGCAGAGACAAAGTTATCCAGCCAGGAGGGAGGCTTACATAAGAGGTGCAGGACATCAGAATGAAACCCAAGTACCATCGTCTGAATTCTATTTCTGAGACTTGCTCACATTCTTAAAGTACGTGAAATCGCATGCAGTGAGCATTTTTTACATTTTATATGCCTTCGAGTACAAAACACTGGGTTGACATATAAGTTGGGGGTTTCTCCCCGCTAACAACACTGGCAACTTCTGCCTAGGGGAAGGTAGAGTAGGATGCGCGGGAAGCCTGCAGGCCTGAGAAGGAAAGGTTTAGCTTCCTTTCCTAAAGATGCATCGCGGTACTGGCCATCCAAGAGCACCACAGGAAGAGTCCACAGGCTGAGGACTCGGCACAGAGGTGACAACACCCTGGGTCCACTAACCCCAGCACTCACGCAGGCACCCAGTCACGGAGCTCAGCGAGTGTACCGAGCAGCGGGCGACAAGCCCTGAGATCACCTGTCCTCCCCCAGCACATTTCCAGCTGGCACAGTCAGGGCTGGAGCCAGGCAGTTTGGACTCCAGCCTCTTCTCGGGCGCCGTGCCCCTCCTCACGCTGCACTCCTCCCCCAAACTGCAACCCCGCTAACCAGAGATGCCACCTCCCGGTTCCCACGACACGGAGGTCGTAAAAAAGAGCCTCCTTTGCCCCACAGCTCCCTCCAACTTCACAAACTACAGACAACTCACCGGGACGCAGGTGGCACAGTCCTGCTGGGGGGCTGCGCTCCGTGGCAGCCCCTGCAAACTCCGGAGGCGCGAAGCCCCGCTGGCCCGGCAGTGGACCCGGCGCGGCCGCTCTGC